TACTACTCTGTAATCAACAGTCATGGTTACTAAAATCAGTTGCCATGGAGATAAAGATGACAGCAGCCAATCGACAGCGTTCACACACTCAGAGGCTGCTACGAATGTTACTGGAGGACACACAGACGGTCTCTAAGGAAATAGGTAGGGTGTTATAACCGCCAGTTTGCCATTACACAATTTGATATCCATCTTTGAACAATGGAGTGAAACTTAAACATTTTAATGATAAACTCCCTCTTTTCTGAATTCTGGCCATGAATATTATTTAAGTAAATGTGTTTTTCATGAAAAGGGTTGCTTTTTGACATGAAAAATGATAAAAACATTTTTGGAATCACTGATTTTGACTCTGAAAATTTGGTAAGTGAAGATTACAACATAATTTTGTATACTAAAAACCTGACGTTTTTTCAAACTACTTCTAAAAATGTAGTCAAAAGTTTTTGCAATATACTTATTTTCTAATTTTAGTGAATATTTTTGTATTGTATGATATTGCTTGATTTTTAACTATCACAACATTGAGAAAAATGTTGAAAAACAAAGCAATGGCAAACAAGCTTTATAAATTTTTTGAAGGAGGCAAATTGGAAACAAGTGTTGATGGTGATGGTATGTTTGGAATGGATTCTCATTTACTAGACAGCACTACTATATCACATGCAAGACAAGCTGTTACAGGTAAGAATAACACCCAGTGTATTGTAAATGTATTCATTATTCACTTGTTTTTAACTACATGAACATGTAGAATAACAATATATCTCATTGTTTTCCTGCAAAGTTTGTGAACTTAAAACACAGTGAAATTACTCACATCAGATTAGTGAAATTAGGACCCTTTCCAAATCATGTTTGAACACCATAATTCCCCCCCCCCCCCATAACATTTTTATACATTTTGGTACAACATTTTGATACAACATTTTGATACAACATTTTGATACAACATTTTGATACAACATTTTGATACAACATTTTTGATACAACATTTTGATACAACAATTTGATACAACATTTTGATACAACAATTTGATACAGCATTTTGATACAACATTTTGATACAACATTTTGATACAACAATTTGATACAACATTTTGATTTGATATGGCTTGCAGCCGGCCATATGACCAGCGGCCTGCTCTTAATGAAACCCCCGTATGTACAAATTGTAAGTTTTCACAGTACATATGGTGTATTCTGCCTCAGAAACTATATTCCATGTCACTGTGACTTCTGATGGCATTGTGAAAAATGAACCCTAATTGTCACAACATTTTGAATGTATTTATACATACTATTTTCTGCCAATTTTCACCAGGCTGATCGATTTCCATAATCAAGTTCGCAAATGTCACATAATTGTCAACTCAACAAATTAACCGATAATAACTTTCCTTGAAGGGATGCAAGTACGCCGGAAGATTCTATGCATTCTTGACACAATCGACTTGGAACAAGACGCTCCTCTTCCACTAAGATTAGACTTTTTAAATCCTGGAACAGTGGAGCGGGTCATTTCAACGTTTGATGAGAAAAATGAATACGGTGTTACCGTGTGTAATATAAAATTACTACATGAATATCTGGTACAGGAATTGAATACATTACAAGGTTCTGCCGCTGCTGGACAAAGACCACTCATACAACAGGTGAGAAATTTCACAGGAATTGGTTTTATTATTTTTTATCAAAAAATAAGAAAATGGCAATTGCCGACATTGCTTCACTGTATCAACGCAAGTCCCAGCTCAATTTTGAGTTTTGACTAAACTGTAAATGCTGTTTTCAATCTAAGAATCTAGAAAATACAATCGCAAAAAAGTCGGAAATAAAAAAGTTTGTCATATCATCCAAATCTAGGTTAAAGGGTCAACTTGCGTGAAGTTAATAACTATAACAGCAAAATACATGGTAGTATTAAAGTGAAGTGACTTAAGAAGACTGACAGCCGAAAACTTGTGTTTGATTTTTGAGCTTGTCTTGTAAATGTTTGTTCACTGATCTGTGAAGTTCATGGAAGTTGTCTTGTGAAGTTCAACCAGTTTCCATGTTGCAGATCCCTGTACCGCATTTTCTCTATTATATTATGTTATGTTATGTTACGAGTATGTTATGTTATGTTATGTTATATTATATTATATTATCAATACATGTGCTTATGATCAAAGGCATATTTCTTATTGTAGGCAACAATATTTCGAATGCACACATGTTACTATGACCACTAACAGGCATTGTCTTGTATGTGTGTTTAATATTAAAAGCCAAAAAGAATAACGTCTTTGGCTTGTAACATGCTCTTCTGACAAGACTATTTTTATTCACTATCCTCCATTATACACATGTAATCAATTGTATAAACAAATGTCATAGCGGTGTAGTGGTGTCATAACAGTGTATGAGATTCAACAAATGTCATAGCGGTGTAGTGGTGTCATAACAGTGTATGAGATTCAACAAATGTCATAGCGGTGTAGTGGTGTCATAACAGTGTATGAGATTCAACAAATGTCATAGCGGTGTAGTGGTGTCATAACAGTGTATGAGATTCAACAAATGTCATAGCGGTGTAGTGGTGTCATAACAGTGTATGAGATTCAACAAATGTCATAGCGGTGTAGTGGTGTCATAACAGTGTATGAGATTCAACAAATGTCATAGCGGTGTAGTGGTGTCATAACAGTGTATGAGATTCAACAAATGTCATAGCGGTGTAGTGGTGTCATAACAGTGTATGAGATTCAACAAATGTCATAGCGGTGTAGTGGTGTCATAACAGTGTATGAGATTCAACAAATGTCATAGCGGTGTAGTGGTGTCATAACAGTGTATGAGATTCAACAAATGTCATAGCGGTGTAGTGGTGTCATAACAGTGTATGAGATTCAACAAATGTCATAGCGGTGTAGTGGTGTCATAACAGTGTATGAGATTCAACAAATGTCATAGCGGTGTAGTGGTGTCATAACAGTGTATGAGATTCAACAAATGTCATAGCGGTGTAGTGGTGTCATAACAGTGTATGAGA